GAATCCGTTTTATCTATGAATATATGACAGCATATGTTCATACTACAATAGTGATAAGCATGCTCACACAGGTTTTTAGATTCAGGTGTTTATCAGATACACAGTTGGGTTGTGGTGGCCATCAAATATATATTGTATTACCATGTACTGTATAAAATACTTTCTAATGATGTTATAAGTATCATTATATAAGTTGTTTGTTGTTGTGGTTTCTTGGTTTTGTCTGTTTTTTTTTTCTCTTTCTGCAGGTCTAGAGGCAGACCTCAATGATGTTGATTTGTGTTCTCTTTATCCCTCTCTCTCTCCTCTATTCCTATCTCCTTCTTTACATTTTAACCCTTCTCTCACTTTTCTGCTTTATCTTCTTTGTTTTCCGTCCCCGTGTCCATTACATCGAAACAAACCCAAAGCATATTCTAATAAAATTTAATTTTCACATCAAGTGGAGCATTAAGGCCAGCCATAATGCTCTGCTTGTGAAAGTAAATCTGTTGGGCATCACTTTGACACTCAGAAAATAATTCCAAGTGTCACAATGCCGGACAGGACGGTGGGGGGAGAGATGCCGTTCTTGGTCGATCAGTATATTCCCCTTTTGAAACCTTTTCATTTTGTTGTACTTGGTCCAAATTTTAGACTCAGCTTACTAGGAACAACCAACATTTTTTGTAACATTTTGTTATATTAGCTTTTTAAACAAGTTTCTTATACTGGAGCCATGATTCATGTCTGTCCATTTTGTGTAACAGCTCTTTAAAGTGGGAACACCCTGTTTTAACTGAAAACACGTTTGTTTTGAAACTGCAAATGAGTAATTCCATATTTTTTCTTCTACTTTATTTAAAACAAGCAATTGTGTCTGATTGATTGTATTTTTTCATAGATTCTTAATGCCAGACGGTTTGAATTATGAAAAACTAGTTTTGTGGAACAGCCTGTTATTTATGTTTTGCCAGGGATTGTACGCAGTTTAAACATGTCAGGCACTAGGACCATAAAGGTCACATAACTTAAACCATGTGACCGCAGCTTCCCCTGCTCTTCAGCAGCTACATGCTGAAAGGAAGAGTCTGTCACTCATTTATTTATAACAAAAAATACTTTATGGTTAGTCAACATGGTAATTTGTTGACTTTGATGAGAAAATAAAGTTTGATCTTTTCGTGAGGTTGTGTAATAAAATCCGATTTCCTGAAAGTCGACCACCATGAAAGTTTTTTGTTTATCTGTGTTCAGTGTGAGTAATTTGTCATTTTAATGAAAATAATTAAAAATACAAATAAGTTTCCCTCTAACATCCACTTTGATCAGTCCTGAGTTTCCACAGCTGTCTGAGCGCATCTCTTCTCGACCTCTCTGAAATTTATTTAATCCAGATTATTATTTTTTTCTTGTTATTTAAAATGACATGTACAGTGGTGCTTGAAAGTTTGTGAAATTAGTCATTAGTTACTTGGTCATTTAGTTATTGAGGAAAATTATCCAATTTTACATATTTGTGATGGTAAAAGTATGTGAACCTCTAGGATTATCAGTTAATTTGAAGGTGATATTAGAGTCAGGAGTTTTCAATCAATGGAAAATGATCAGCTGTGAGTGGACACCCTGTTTGATGTAAAGAACAGGATCTATCAAAGTCTGATCTTCACAACATGTTTGTGGAAGTGGATCATGGAGGAACAAAGGAGATTCCTGAGGAGCTCAGAAAAAGAGTTGTTGATGCTCATCAGGCTGAAGAAGGTTACAAAACCTCTGTAAAGAGTTTGGACTCCACCAATCCACAGTCAGACCCCCCCAGGAGTGGTGGACCAACAAAGATCACTCCAAGAACAAGGTGTGTAATAGTCAGTGAGATCACAAAGGAGCCCAGGGTAACTTCTAACACCTGAAGGTCTCTCTCACATTGACTGATGTTGATGTTCATGAGTCCACCATCAGGAGAACTGAACAACAATGGTTCATGGCAGGTGAAGGAGGAAGACACTGCTCTCCAAAAAGAACATGGCTGCTCTTCTGCAGTTTGATAAAGATCACGTGGACAAACCAGAAGACTGTTAGAAGAATGTTTTGTGGACGATGAGACCAAAATATAACTTTTTGGTTTAAATGAAAAGTTATGTTTGGAGAAAGGAAAACTCTGTATTCCTGTAGAAGAACCTGATCCCATCTGTGAAACATGGTGGTGGTGGTATCATGGTTTGGGTCTGTTCTGCTGCATCTGGACCATGACTTTTTGCCATCATTGATGGAACAATGAATTCTGAATTATATCAGAGAATTCTAAAGGAAAATGTCAGAACATCTGTCCATGAAGTGAATCTGAAGAGAAGGTGGGTCATGCAGCAACGCAATGATCCTCATCACACATGTGGTTCTACCAAAGAATGTTCAAGAAGATCCAGAGTTGAAGCTGTTCTTTACAGAGGAGTGGACTAAAGTTCCTCCAAGCTGGTGAGCAGGACTGATCAACAGTTACCAGAAATGTTTAGTTGCAGTTAATGCCGCATGGGGGTGGTGGGGTCACACCAGGTACTGAAAGCAAAGGTTCACATACTTTTAGTAGTTAAATCCTAACCCTAAACTTTTAGTTAATTAGTGTTGCCTTATTGCAAACATCTGACTAAACAATATTCATTCCTTTTCTAGCCTGTCAGGCCCGTGGACAACGGAACCAGCTCCACAGCCTGTTGAAAAGGACCCTGGTGAGCAGATTTGCAAATACACTGCCTCTGATGTTCTCAAACTGGCTGAGAAGCTGAAGTCTCCAAACGAAGCGCAAGCTGAACCCCAGCAGATCTGCATGGTTCAAGAGAGAGAGGTCGCCCGCAAAATGGAGCAGGAGCGTCGCAGGAGAGAGGCTGTCAGTACCGTCACCTGTTCCATGCACACCGCTCGCTTTATCCACGCTCAAGTTGTGACTTTCTGCTTGTGTTTCTCTTGGCACAGATGACTGGTGTTGATATAACGAGGCACTGGGACATCATGACTGCGTTTGAGCTCGACATGGATTGAGCATGAACAGAAGCCGATCACTTCGTGTTAAATGTGAACAGTTTCTGTCGCAAGTACAGAAAAGCTTTGAGTCATGCAGAGACGGAAATATTGAATTCTGAGAGCAGGAAAAAAGCTCAAATCTAGAGGATTTATTTTGAAATTAACATTTGATGTCACTAATGCACTCAGTCATCAGAAAACACTTCCTGTATTTTTCTTCACGTTACTTCAGTGAGTCGTTGGGCTGGTTCAGATGTTCCATAAAACCTTCAGGACATTCTTCCTGTTTCAGTTTCTGCCTTGACCTGCCGGTCCCATCTGTGATTTGTGAAACGTTTTTGGACAAAAGTAAAATGCTGTTAAGTACCAAAAACTGAGTAGAACCTTAAAAGGTTTCCAGCTCCGTATCGACTTAGTCTTGGTTGATTTTGCGGGTCTATGTGAGGTTCTACACACTTTTGAACCAGAACCATAGTAGTAACAAAGTTGTTTTGAGCTGTCATTGTGTATTCTAGATGTTGTGTGTGTTTCCATATTTAAAGAACTGTTTTCACTGCAATGCTTTGAGTCACTTGGATTAGTTTGAGTATGTCTGTACCACCTGAAATACTAAAAGTATTGGTGGCTCATAGTATGTGCATATTATTTTCTCATCTTTAGTTTTTCAGTTTTATTTTCTCTGCATGCCACTAATTACTAAAGTGAAGTTTTCTACCACATCAGTGTGAAACAGAAGGGAAATTATGTCCTGATGCTGCTCAATAATCCAGGTAGATTAATCTAACAAGGTTGAGTCAGGTCCTCTGAATGGATTCTTCTTGTTTAAACATTTCATCTTTTATCCAAAAGACTTCTTCAGACTGAGGAGCTGCTGGCCGAGCACTATTAGCAGGCAAGAAGGTGTTTATGACCGTTTGTTGCAGCTCCTCAGACTGAAGAAGTCTTTTGGATAAAAGATGAAAAGTTTTGGGAAGAAGAATTCGTCCAGAGGACCTGACTTCACTTTAAGGAAATTATACTGCCCCCCCCCCAGCCCCCAGTTTAAACAAAAGTTTGAAAAGCGTGTGAATTTATATCCCACACCTTTTGTCCATTGTCTATGAAACTACTGCTCAGTCTGATTAGATGGAGTGCGTCTGAAGCAGGTTTCAGGTCTTGCACAGATTCTCAGCTGGATTCAGTTCTGGACTTTGACTGGCCCATTCTAACAGAAACATGTTCTGATCTGACCCATTCCATTGTAGATCTTGCTGGATGTTCCAGGTCCTTTAATGCAGCCTCTAACAAGTTTTCATCCTCGCTGAAGAAAAGCATCCCCACAGCATGATCCTGCTACCACCATGTTTCACAGTGGGATGTGCTCAGGCTGATGTGCAGTGTTAGTTTTTCACCTCTCAGCATTTTGCCTCTAGGCCAAAAGTTCAATTAGTTCTTGTTCAAGCTGCTTTTTTTCACGTTTTCTGTTTCCTTTATGGTTCGTGAGACAAACTGTAACCAGGATCTGGACCAGACTTGTGGAGCCAGACTGATGGTTGTCCTGTGAGCAGATTGTTCTTAGGTGGACGACCATGTCCTGGTAGGTTTGCAGTTGTCAGATGATGTGAAATGTTCAACTCTGAAATATTGTCTTAAAGAGTAACGATACTTGACCCTGGGTATGACTTGACTTTAAAGTGTAAAGTTGAGCTTCAGAGTTTGATTTCTTGAAAAGTATTTACAAACCGGATTCCAAAAAAGTTGGGACACTAAACGAATTGTGAATAAAAACTGAATGCAATGATGTGGAGATGGCAAATGTCA